AGAATAGATACAGATCACATGATAAAACTAAGTTTATTGATTTATATCAGTCCATTGTTGTCTGGTTTTATATAATTTATTCTAATTAGAAAATAAGTTACAAGAGTATAAGCCAACATATCTAGATTATACTGGTAATATTAAATCACGTGATATATTTTTAGATTTTATTTGGAGGTATATTAAGAAAAAGAAAAAGTAGAATATTGGAAATAATATTTTTTATTAATAAATAAAATCCTATTCAAAATAAATTTTATTACTTTATACTACCTGCAACTAACTTTTGATTATTTAATTTCTATTTTTCTATATGACTTAGAGATATTTAAGATACTTACAATTATAGATTTACAATTTACAATAGTTTTGTAATTACTTAAGAATATTAGATACCTTTTTGGAATAAGTAATATAGGATTAGACTTCTTATTGGATTGGAATAAAACTTTTAGATTATCTTTTATAGAAAAAATACTAGATATTATAGAAAGCAATTATTAAGTCATCTTATATTAAATCAGATATCTCATACTCTTTGTAATTTTTGACAATTATTGTATATCAATTGAATAATCATTATATTATAATACCTTTTTTGAAAATCATAATCTTAATATCTATTAAATCAGCACATGAAATAGTTTTTTATAAGAAATAATACTTTTAATAAGTTATGATATCAGGTATTATATTAATTTTATTTAATCACTTTTATATAAGATTGAATTGATATTTTGTAATTTGATTTGTGAAATGCTAATTATTGCACTACAAATTAATTAATAGTTTTATAAAATTGATATTGATTTTTTTTTTTAATCTTATTGTGAATTGTTTATTTTTTTTTTGTTTTTTTTTATAAATTTTTTTTTGTTTTTTTTAAAAAATCAAATAAAAAAAAGAAATTGATTAGTTTAAAAATAAAAGTTATTTGTTATATTATTAAAAAGTATAAGTTGTTTGTTTTTCTAAGTATTTTTTAATTTTTTTTAAAAATTGGATATGTTTTAATTTTTTTTTAAAAATTTTGATATTTGTTAAAAATATAGATATTGTATATAAATATTTAAAAAATATAATATAACTATATATATAATATAAATATTTCAATAATAATTTAATTAATTATATTAAATAATTGTATCAAGAATTTACAATTTTAATAATATTTATAAATATAAATAAATTTTTTAAAATTAAGTTAAGATAAATAAATTTTTAAAGCATAAAAAAAAAAAAAACTTATTATGATTTTAATTTTTAATAAATTTTAAAAAATATTATTTTTTTAAAAAAGTTTTTTTTTTATTATAATAAAAAAATAAACAATAAAAAAATTTTTTTTGCTTTATTTATATAATATATAAAATATATTAAAAAGCAATTACGTATTAAATATTATTTAAAATAATAATTAAAAAATCAACGAAAAAAGTTAAATTATTATAACAATTATATTATATATTATTATTAATTATAAAAAATACTTTACTTAACATTAAAAAACTATTATTATTATTTAATTGAATAAATAATAATAATTATAATAATAATTATAATTATTTTGATATAATTAAATATTATATAAAACCAGACAACAATGGACTGATATAAATCAATAAACTTAGTTTTATCATGTGATCTGTATCTATTCTCCGACACGTCCCTCAAACATGCAACAATCTTCACTTCTGAAAAAACGTGCAAAGAGAACTTTGGTGATAGCCTCGCGATCTAACGATTTCAAAGAGAACTTAGCCACTACTAAGGAAGAACCCAAAGTTTTGGCCAAAAACAAATCATTTGGTATTCCTTTTTCCCCAGAGAAAGAAGTTGTGGCAACTTCTTTACAGAAGCACACCTTGGTATCATCAATAAAACCAAAAGTCAAGTTCTCACATAGACTTTCTACATCACCTCGAAAGTATAAATTGGCAAGCTCAGTTCTGGAAAACATGTTTTCTGATGCAGACTCAGATGTTGAAGGATGGAACCATGAATCGCAAATGAAGACGCGAACTTCTCAGCAAAACCAAAAATATTCGACGAAGATTGGTTTTCGAAGACCGTCACCTAAACCACTGGTGCCATTAGAAAAAAGGAATGACGCGTTCCGGAATAATTTTCGAAGGCCATCGCCAAAGTCTATTGTGTCGCTAGATGAAAAATCCATTAAGGCCCGGAGCACGTTCCGAAGACCATCACCAAAGCGAGTGATTCCGAAGGAAAATGATACCAGTCAGCTGTCTCCTCACTTAAATCTTGACAACGAGTCAATGACGCCTCCGAGGAATACAGAATACTCACATCAAAGATTTTCATTAGAAAACGATTTTCTTGCCAAAGAAATTTCTAAAAAACGTAATGATAAGATAAAATCTCATGCAGTTAATTCATCGATCGGAATAAAACAGAGAATCAAACAAACTTTGCAATGTGATAGCGAAGGTGAAGACGACGACATTGATGTCCATATTAAACCTAATGCGTTCGACCAACGTGGAACCACTTCTTTAAACGAGAAAAGATCATCACTTAATTTGAACTTATCGGATAAATTAGGACGATCGTCACCATTAAGTATTGAATTTTTGAATTGCAAATCGGATGAAACATTAGATGCGAGCAAAGAAGGAAAGAAAAAAAACATATCAAAGATTGACGAATTCTGGGGAATTGGAAAGAAAAAATTTGATGTGTCAAAAGAAATGCCAAAATTTGCTAAGGAAACTACAAAAGGATCAAGAAAAAGCACACCAAACAAAGCATCGCTAAAAAAATTTCATGCCATAAAACACATTCAAGATGAAGAAACTGTCGTGAAAACTCCTACCACAGATAGCACTGGCAGTTCTTTTTCCGTGTCACCACCTTCGTTAAAGTTTAATAGTTTTGATGCGACAAATAGATCTCCATTGGCTTCCAACGTCATAGAGATTATTGATGATGACGTAGAAGAAATAACAGAAAATCACACTGGCAGGTTTAAAGCACCTTCGCCAACCATGGAAAAGTATGTCAATTTACCAAAAGTTGATTTTCTTTCTGAAGAGGATACACCGGAACCAGTTAAGAAAGGTGATTATAACATTCATTTATCATATATTTAGTATGTTCTTGATTCGTGAAGGCTAAGAAAAAGTTCTAGATTCAGGCGAGCGAAAATGCTGTCCGTACTGCAATGAGATACTTCCAACACCACTTCCACCAAGGATAAAAGCTTATTTATCAAGCATTGACTCCTCATCAGATTCACCAGGCCATACGCCATCCTTATCAATTCTCCTTAATCGTTCAACAAACGTTGTGGATCAATTTGAATTCTGTCGTCTTCACGATGCGGAGTCTAATATTGTACCGGACGGGTTACGAAAAAATTATCCTTTGACTATAGATTTCGATAATTTACCTTTACGTATTCAGAGTATGTTCTCTGAGTTAAAAGATGTTGCGACTGGAAAAAAGAAGAGTTTTTTCAGAGACGTGGCAATGGAGGCATACAAAGAACTGGGTAAAGCTAGGGCAAGAAAACCAACGATACTGATGGGAAGATTTCAAAAGTTTCAGGTATATTTTACATTTCCTATTTTCTTTCATACGAAATTCTTTTGTCAAGAAGCTTATTGATATATATATATATATATTTAGCCTGGCTATTACGGCCCTAAGGGCTCGTCAGTTATATTTTCTACCCTTATATCTCTATTCGTTGATTCGAAAATATTAACAACGGAAATGACCAGGCCACAAGAACCTTTAGAGTATCTCGATCAGGTGCTTGTTCCTGAGGTTGCTATAAGATTGATAGTTCAAGATCGCGGAGGTATTACATTTGAAGAAGCGAGGAGTGTAATGGAAGAAAGTATGGAATTCGGAATGTACATACATGATATAGAACGAGAAGAGGATGATTATTACAATTGATCAAGGTGATACATTATTTGGAGGATACGATGATGACTAATACAGAAGTGTTTTTAAACCAAAAATGAATTATGCAAGTCAAAACGATGACTATTGTAAATTGATTAAACTTCCCACATGCTTGAAGGTGAACTCACAATAATGCATTATGTACGTAATTCATTTTCGAGTTTTGGGATGGCATCTCATGGATACATGATATAGTGACCTTTGTTATGTTAATATCGAGAACTATAGGATTATGTAATGTACGAGATAAATAAACCTCAGCCGTGATCAAAATTTATCTTTAGACCTCTGAGATCCTCCATGTCGATTATACTATCGACCCCATTTAATATCAAAACGCAATAATGAGTACACGGCGAAAAATGATAATTGCGCACGAAAATTTATCGTCACGAATTTTACGGTGTCAGGCAACAAATCATATAGAGGGATTCAAGCGGTCATTAACACATCCTTGAATCATTGTTTAAGAATATTGGAACGTACGCAATGAACCCGCCGAGATTACGAACACACTGTATGAAAAATAAAAAGATTAAAGAATTCAGAGGAACCGGCTCACACTTATCGTACAATGATGCAAGGTCCTTAAATTATTCATTAAGAAATTCATTACTAAATTTTTGTTTATTAACCACTAAAAGAAAAAAACATTACCGTAAGCGCTGACTAAAGTGTTTAGGATGTTACGATGCATGCATAATCGGATCACATGAATCACTTATATAACGTTTAACACTCTTGGCAAATTTCTTCACCAGAACATTCGTGATGTGGAATCGTAAACTATTTGTTAAAAAAAAAACAAAAAAACGAGAATAATACTAAGAATGATGAATAGACCACTCAAAGTTTTTACCTTTGAATATATAGTGAAGAGAATAAATTCCTAACACATTAGCCTTTGAACAAAGACAAGCATCTAGAAATAGTTGTCTGACGCTTTAAACCGATAAATAATCCAATTCCTTCAAGATCTTATATAGACAATCATTCATACAGTATATATGTTTCACATGCGTACGTTTAATTATTTCACTTGTTAACGATGAGAAATAATAATTACAGTATATCAGGTTAGATGATAATAATGAACATTCTGACCATGCATGGTCCTACCAACATGGCTCCAACAGCTGAATGCCGTTGGCAAGAATTCTGTTAGAATTCATTATTATTATTAAAAAAAATTAAAGCTTACGTACAATTCACAACCATAACAGATCAATGATACACAATGCACATTTCCTTTGGTACCCAAAATATCGGTAACTCAATATTAAATTCGTGTGCTCGACAAATTTATTTTTGGTTTACATAATGACATCTCCGTTTTAAATGTCATAGCATACTGAGACTTCGTCATTCAAAAGAGCACTCATGATTGGCCACCGATCAGTTTTGATTCCCGAGGTGGGACAGATGGTTTCGTGTAAGTTTATGTGATTATGTGATTATTTGTCATCATCCCCAAAGAACGCTTTCAATTACTTAACAAATATGATTTACTTACTCAGCAAAAAGAAAAATTGGCGGTAAAGTCCGTTATATCAATATATAATTCACATTTGCCTGCTCTAATTCTTCGTACGTTTCCGCGAGAGATTAATAAAATACAGTTCATCTTCTAAATGTAAGATGATTTATCAGGTCTGCATGGAAATCTTTTATTCAATTCAATCGTTGATTTTCTACAAATACCTGAGCGCTTGCCCAAGGATTTTTTCGCTGGCATGGTAAAAAAACTGCAAACGATATTTCACGTGTTACAAAATTTTATTAGGTGATCGGAGTTCCTATATAGGTAATTGCCGAAACCTTAACAATCCCATTCCTTTTATGTTAAAAACTTGGACGTTTTTGTAAAATTTATTAAATTCATATTTTCGGAACGAATTCAAAATTAGATCACGTATAAAAGTTCACAGATGGAACCTAGAGAATCGTTAATTTTCAAGATCGTTTACTACTATATGATTAACGAAGAGCCTCGTCACTATTATCGTTTTATCTATATTGCATACTTATGACTCAGTAATCCGTCGATCTTGAATTTACGAACGCAACTAACTCCTTTCGAAAACATGGGTAATCGTCTTTCTTCATCCAGACGAACGAAGAAAAAGAAGGAATTTTCTGGAAGTTCAAAAGAAAAAAGCGACACAATATCTACCTCAAGCTCTTCAAGTGACAGTTTGTACTCTAATTCAACCTATTTTCTAAGAAATAACGAAGAGGAATTTGATCGACAGCAGAGGACCCATTTTTTTGCAAAGTATTTTTTTGATGGGAAAAATTTTTCGGCGCCGTGTACAGAGATTTTGGAAAGCGGATGTAAGGTGTTGGATATTGGGTATGTACGTGCCTAAGCAAAGAAAAAAAAAAGAAATCCAATCTCAATTGTTCACTTCCGAAATCTCATCTATTCTCAACCTTCCCAGGTGTGGTTCAGGTGCATGGGTG